GGGAAGAATGGACTGTGGCATGTCCACCCCCCCTCCCCCCCGGGGAGTGATTTCTTGGTTTTTGTCTGCCTTTCTGGCGAGTACATGTGCCCTATAGCGAAAACCTCTCAAAATAATATATTTCTAAAAAGAAAACTGGTGTGTTGAAATAACAGTAACATGAAGTTATAATAATATAAGAACTGTGAAAGTCCCAAGCCTTGTGCTGGCAGCTCCTATCTTTTTTTTTTTTTAAAAGAATTGTTTAAATTCTTTATGAATGAATGAATGAATGAATGAATAATTTGACCAGAAAGGGACAAAGTGAGAGAAAGAGGAAAAGTGAGAAAGCAAGCCAGCCACCTGACTTGAGCTCCATACCACTTTTTAGTTTTTAATATTCTTTTTTTTTTTTTTTTTAAAGAGGTTTTGCCTTAGGGCAAGTAGATTCCTGGTGGGGTTAGGGTGAGGGAAAATTAGAAATTACCACCCAGGGAAGATAGCCACACCACAGTCCCTTCTCCTCCATTCTCTTCCTGGGATGTTGGACATGCACGCACACGCACGTTGTGTGAGTTTAAGCCACCAGTTCTGGGACTCGAACTGTGGTCGACTACATGGGAGTCCAGGAACCTAGTATTATGCTAACTGCTGGTCCCTCTTTTTTTTTTTTTTTTTTTAAAGAGGTTTTGCCTTAGGGCAAGTAGATTCCTGGTGGGGTTAGGGTGAGGGAAAATTAGAAATTACCACCCAGGGAAGATAGCCACACCACAGTCCCTTCTCCATTCTCCTCTCAAGATCTTGGGCACATGCGCACTCATGCGCCTAGTGTGATTTTCAAGCCCCCAGGTCTGAGACTCAAACTGCAGTTGGCCACTTGAGAGTCCAGTGATGTAACTGCTACACCGTCTGGTGGCTTCTTGATCAGCCTTTGAGAACTATGATGGCTATTTTTCAAATACATAGAATTGTAGAAATCTAATAATCTACCTTTTATTTTTAAAAAAAGTAATAAAAGGAGCTAGCCTAACCTATCAGTAAGTTGAATGGATGAGGTAAAAATTTTGAGACTATTGCAAATAAAATACATTATTTCTTAATTATAATTTTAATAACATGCTCGAAAAGCAATCATAATATCAAGTAAATGATAATCATTTTAAAGATGAGAAAATGAGTTTAGTCAAAAATAGGTCTCCATGGGCAGGCAGGCAGCATGGCAGTTAAGGGTGCTGGACTTCCACATGGCCAGTTGTGATTCGAGTTCC